GAAAATATTATGAAATTATTGATGAAGAGAATTCATTAGTATTCCATATTTCATTTATGCCATTAAATGAATACTTGTTTATAGAATTTAGTCAGACATGTAGAATAAGTGAAGAAAATTTATTTTCCTTAATTTCACCAAAAAAAGAAATTACATAAGAAAAGATATCATTGGATAGATTCAATGATCTCCTCTACATCACTCTTTGAACTTACAGAATTGCTTCCACAAACACAAGCTAAACACTCTAATGGAATGTATTAATACTTCTATGAATTCTCTTAATTGTCACTCATAAGAAAAATTAGAGAAGCACTATAAAGATTGAAATTAAATAAGTGACTGAGCTACTCTCCAAACATTATAAACAAATTATTTAAATAAAATGTAGAAAATAGAGTTTGGCACCGGGGTGCCCATAAAATGAACAAACACCACAATGTTGAAGGGTTTCCTCTGCTATGGTGCTTGTAGACATGAACTCGTTATTTAATGAATCGACATTTCACTTCGTTGGCATATCATGGCCTAAATGGTTATAGTTGTAGTGCTACGACGTTGTTAATGGTTGAGTGCTGCAACATCCACGTATCACTCCTCTTGACTTGGTTGCGCTAGAATTTGCCACCGCAACACTATGTAAACAGAGACTTTGCTTTGTAGTACTGATTCCTCTGACACTACGACATTATGATAGTTGGATGGGCTTTGCAGCACTAACTCTTTTGATGCTTAAGTGTTGGAAAATAGAGATTGGGCACCACCATTTCCATATTTGGGTGCTAAAATGGAGTTAATGTTGGTGCCGTGATGGTATTGTGTCTGCCACTGCAATGCTACACCGTACTTAAAAATTTTGCTCATTTTATGTATTTCTTGCACAAACACAACTAAAATAATACTTTTTTACTAACAAATTAATACAAAAAATATAACATGATTTAGAATTATCAATATCCAATTAGCTTAGTTAAAGGTACTTTAAGAAAGGGGCGAATTTAGAATGCAATAAGTAATAAAAAATATCTAAAGAAATTCATCTCAAATCAAACTTTCACAGACAAATATGCTAAAATAAATAATTTAGCAATCAATTATGATAAAATAAATAAACAACAAAATTTTATAAATCTAGTTGACAAGATATATAGGAAGTAATAAGTTACAATGTGAGTGATCAATATTGAGAACAATGAAAATGATTTGACACTCAAATAAATAACTACAAAAATATTCTAATAAAAATAAATAAGATATTCATCCTAGTTAAGACAATACCAACCTAATCCATGAGTCGAAGTAGAGAAAACACAACATAAGAATGAAGTAAGAATATTTAATATGTCTTGGAGAGCAATCAACATATAGTAGGAAAACTCTCTAAAAGATATAAATTTAATATGAAGTTGGATATAAATATCTTAAAACAAAATATTCATCCGAGCTAAGATAACACACACTCTAATAATGGATCGTGATAAGTCAAGATAAAAAAATTCCTAAGTGTGACGATCTATTTCCCTAAACCCTAAATTTAATAAGAGATATTTGAATAAATATCTTAAAATCAGTAATTTATATTAACTAAAATAACTTGAACATCTTACTCCATGAATAAATTTAAGGTAAAGCATACTTCTAATGCATGAGTCTACTCATCTTAAGGATCTAAAACACTTGACTGTCTTGCTCATATGAGAAGGAGAACTTATTATGTTAGATATTCCACATTCAAAAAAAATATTTACATAGAGATTAAGCATCCAAAAATTAAATAATTTACACCCAATCTTAATTTAGGTTAAATTAAAATGTGCATCACAAGAAAATTGAGAGATTGAAAGACAATAGGGATTCAAATCCTATAAAAATATTGTCAAAAAAAGAAGGATTTGATTTCAATTTATTTGACCAAATCCATGGATACCAAAATAAAGATGGCATGAGATAACATTCTCAATAATATTTCTTGTTTTACCATACAATTTAGGAATTAACAACTCATCTGAAGCCACCATAAATGATCTCAGGGATGATATGAGCTACATCCTCGATCCATCTAAGTCATTGAGGAAAAGCAATATCATCCTCAAGACTTTGTCCAATCATCATAATTTAGTAAACTTCACTACTTCAAAATTAATCAATTAGGACAAAATTATGAAATTTTATTTGATAAGCAATTCATGATTCAAACAACGTGAAACAAGATATTCATCCAATTATAATGGTCTAAACTTACCCTATATGTGTAATGCCAGGACAAACAAACTAAGATGTGATTTAAGATTAAACTTCTAATTAGAATTATTTTGATCTTATCTATAGAAGCCAAGTAAGGTCATTATATTAGTATCCCAAAATATGTTGAGGGGAAATAATCATTTATAACACTCAAGCTTTGGGGAAGTACGGGCTAAGAAAGATGAACATTCATTGCAAAGTAACACCATAAATCCAAAAGGAGCTCTAGACCTTTCTAAAACTCTAAACAATCTAATAAACAATCCAAGGAAAATAAATTTACATTTTGAAACACATTTTAAGCCTATAATACACCAAACCAAGAAAAGAGATTTATGCTTTGTTTGCCCATGCCAAGATAATTAAAAGAGTCAATTAGAAAGGATTCAACCTACTTAGGCCATTTAGATAATATATAATATATTGGATCGATGTTTATCCATCTCGTTGAACATCATTCTATGGTGATGAAATTGAGCCAAGTCTTACTCTACTAGGATTTTTATTCTAAACTTCTTCCTCTGGCTTCAACATTTAAAACATAATTTGGAGATTCGCTATTAATTTTACTGTGAATCTCTTCATTAAGCACTAATCCACGATGTCCTTAAAGTTCAACTTTGAACTCCCTAAAGCAATACTCAAAGCAATAACCCGCCCATCCCAACTATCTAAAAAATGAAGATAACAACAACAATTCTCCACCTCATCATAAAACTTGAGGCCAATTGAATAGAATTGACTCATTACAGTGTTTAGATTATTCATCTACTTTGCCATTGAAGTGCCTTCTAGCATCTTCATTTTGAATAACTTCTTTATTAATAACACTTTGTTTGAGGCTGACAGTTTCTCATTCATCTTATTCAGTGTAGCCATGAGATTGACTGTAGTCTTCTCATTTATAATGTTTAATACAACATATGAGGAAAGTGAAAGTTTAATCAAATCAAGTGTTGTCTGGTCAAGAACCTTTCACTTCTCCATAGTCATTAAATATGGCTTCTTGATGAATCCTTCCAATGGCAAATACAACTTTTTTAATGCATCTAATCTTCAATTTGCATCTTCCAAAGTGCAAAGTTCAAGCCGTTGAATTTCTTAATCTTGTATTTTGCTTCGTTAGCCATTACTCCCACTCAAACTGAAGAATGTGACTCTGATACCAATTTTTGGGGGAAGTAAGATACAAAGCGAACACAAACAATAAAGATAGAATGTAGTAGAAATAAATAACACCAAGATTTAATGTAGAAAAACCCGAAATTGGAAAAAACCAAGAGGCACACTACACCAAGAATTTAATATAAAATTTGAGAGAAATAGTACATATTTATTTTCTTTCTCACTCTCTTCTTGCTTCTCTTCACCCTTGCACCATTATCACACTAGAACATATGAAGAGAAACTATAAAAACCACCAATGGATGAATCCCTTAATGAAAAATGAGAAAGAAAACTATCATTCCACCTCACAACACCGTGACACTAGTTTGGAGTGTAGCAATGCTCAACTCTTTGTATCAAGTCCTCCTGACAGTTGCCACAGTACCTTGGTTTGGAGAGCAACAACCCTCCCCACCCCCCCATGTCAGCACTACAGTGATATGCTTTTGTCTTTTGTCAAACAAACTATGCAGCATTGGGTGCTCCGGTATATAGCACTAGGGGAGGACCGCCTGCAACCCCCCAGCGAGCTCAACAGACTGAATTGAGGTCGGAGGTAATAATACAACATAATTGATCAACACACAAACTCCGCACAAAACTATTATTTGTTTCATTCAAAAGTGTAAATTTTGGTTCTTCAGGAACTAAAGGAAGATCGAGAAGATGATAGTTTTCCCCATTTTCTCTTTAATCAATCTTCACAAATCTTAAAAATAAGAAATAAAAAAAAAATCTTTACAAATTTGTATTACTTTAGATAATTTCTTCCATTCAAATGAAATGAGGCTTGTAGCTCCTATAGCTCCCATTTTAGCTTGATTTTCCCTATTTATGCGGTTAACATCTTAGAAGGAAAAAAAAAATCAGATATAAAAAAGAGAAGAAAAAATAAAAAAAAAATGGAAGAGCAAAAGTTAGAAAAGATAACTCTAATCTTACTCTTATACCATATAGGAAAAAAAAAAAAGAAGCGACTTTGAATGCTTAGATTTTTTCATTCTTTTAATGGGTAAATTATACACAAAACTACATAAAAGAAAAAAGAAAAAAAATAATTACAACATCAAACACAAAAAAAAAAAAAATCACAATAGCTATCTACCACCATTTGCTAGTGAAGCAAATCATGGGCTCTTAAAAATAAAAAAAAATAATAAAAAAAAAATCATTTGCTCTTTAATTTCTTTCTTGTATAAGCAATGAGGAAATATTCTCTAACTCTCCTTATCCATCACTCCCATCGACCGCTCATGGATCTAAATGCTCTTCGCCAAAAATGCATCCAAATGAGTCATTTTAAATCTCAAATTTTAGGGACTTGCATAGCTAATCCTCTTTTTTGTAATCATAACCTTCTCTTTAATGAAAAAATTTGTTCACAAAATCTTTATCAAAATTTCAATAAGAATGAGTTTCAAAATTTTTGAATTTATTTTAACATTCACACAATATTAATTATTCATATATTATACTAATCTCAACATTCATCCAAGAATTTTGAAATCTATCCAGGCTACTTTTATGTCAAAAAAAAGATAGCCTGAGCATTTATCACCTGGCGAGCAGTAGGCCATAGTTGCATCGGATGATAGCAAAAAGCCTCCAATGGAAAGCATTCAAAATTACATTAATGAACTACACATATTTTTCTAACTTAACAATCCCCTTGCACTTCCTTTACTAAACCATTTGCACATAAACAGTTTAACAAGATTACAATTTCTACAGCAGAATGGAAAAACAAGAAGAATTGCCGTAGCTGAGCCGGATACCAACATCACATTCCATGGTTAACAATTCTAAGCTAAACTTAGTTATAAGCAGCACTGAAAAAGCTCTTCAGCACATTGCTGTTCAGAATCTGCAATACTTTTCCATTTGACAGAGCAACACATCTCGGTGTCTTGTACTGGCTCATTGCCCCACCAAGTGTCAGATAATGATCCATGATCTTATGAAATGTTCCTCGCTTAAGCACCCTGAGCTCGAGGGGACTGATCGCTCGAACTTTCCTTGAACCAACATAACCTGCATCAACAAAGGCAAGGTCTAAACAATCACAGCAGCTACTAAGAACTTCTTCTCTTGCTTCGCCGCTGAGCTCCAAGAAGATGACATAATGGCCAGGATCGGTTGACATGTCGACATGACTGGTGTAGTCAAGGATCTCAAGCTTTTCAGCAGCCAAGAGCTTGTCTGCTTCTTCAATGGCAAGCTGCAGGTCTTTCTCTGTGTTCTTGTCAATGTTGATGGTTAATATCAGACTTTTCCGGCGAATAAACTGGAGTTTTGGTGTTGAGTTGTGAAATCCTGCCACCCTTACCACGTCTCCCAGCCTGTAACGATACAAGCCTGAAAATTGCAGAAGAGTAAAACATTTCTAAGAGACGAGAAATGATGTGATTTGTCATAGGGAGCCATTTCAATGCACCATCACAGCTCTTAATGACAATCTACTTCAACTGAAATGTCATAAACTACCATTGAACATTAAAAAACTGAAGTATAAGAAGCATTAATCTTTACATATTCATGAAGGCATTGTTTTATGAGTGCTAACATGTAATTAATGAAATTGCTATTCTCATCATCAGCATATACCAACTATATAAGCCAACTTTATAAATCATCATTTATATTTGCCACAATTGTATGTTAAACCTATAATTTGATCAGTTTCCATCCATGTTTGTCATCATTTTTCTTCCTAATCTTTAATAATAATTTTGACTACTAATCTAACTTGTGCACTTTCCACCTTTTTGAAAGTTACAATAAGTATTATAAATATATATTTCTTCTAAGGTTGGGTATTAGTCTGCTTATAGCTACCATACATTATCAAATTTGACTGCAAAAAATAGCTTCTCACCGAAGAAATTTCAGAAAAGAAATGAGAAAGCTACAAAAAAGTAGTAGTCAAATAAAATTGTAGTTGCATCAAAAAAATAAATAATGAGAAAGCTATCCCAAACAGGCCCTAAGTCTTTATATCAGTATATGTCAAAGATAACATACACTGGAATATTTTAAACTATAATAAATCATGAATTTCCAAGTTTTGGCCAACAAGAATGTGCCAAAAATTACAGGCCACCAATCAATTAACCAAGTCATCATCTATATGAACTGGCGCACAAAAAATAGTCAATTATTCAAATCTAGTGGCTTCAAAACCATTCACTAAGTCAACAACATCTTTATGACTTGGCATTAACAATTTTTTGTTTCTTTTATGTAGGACCACCATTTTGCTATTGAAAAAGCTTGTAAGAAAAGAATTCTTCAGCGAGAATCATTATTTGTCAGATTTTTACCCATTGTTTTCTTAAGATTATCAGAAATCATCCTCAAGAAGTTTGGATCAAAAATATTTTACTATGTGGGAATCAAAGTACATAGCTTGAAGGAAAAGCACAAAATAAAATTATCTGTATAATCTACAATCGTTTCATCATGCTTTCTATTCCCCAAATAAAAGGCTAGATGAGCATGAGGCTGTAAGGATAATATCTCAAGCAAGAACCAGTAAATGAAGAAGTTGTTTATCTATTTTCTGTAATTAGCTAAGATACAAGTTAAGTAATATATGATTATAATAGTTAGAAATGGCCTTGTATTCTTTTATTTTTTTATTTGTCTTTTTACTTTTAATTCAACAGAAATGCCACTGTATCACAGCTTAGGAGCTAAATGATTAGCCCAACTAATTAAAAAATGTTCATACATAATCACAGTCAAAACAACTCTTTATCAAATTCATTAATTGACTTTGGCCAAAATAAGCTGCAAGAAGAAACACATACAGTAAAAAAAATGAAATATTAAATGATTTGTACAAGTTGAATTCATCTTTTAATTGCAGCTGTATGACATGTCTTATGAAAATTAAACAGTATTTAGGCGTTCAATAATCATCATTTAAGAAGGGTTCATGCTGTATTTAGTCTAAATGATGTCAAAATGTTCTTTTGGGGATAACAAGGGCCTCTTTGGATGGCTATAACGTTTTATAAAATTGGTTCTGAAGTTACTGTTACGAAAATAACTTCACTATTCTAGTTGCAAAAAATTGATTTTCACTAAAGAAATTTCTAAAATGCTGTGAGAAAGTAAATCCATAATTCTACATAATTTATTAAATTAAGCCATTAGAAAGGTCTAGAAATTAAAGTTGAAAAGAAAGAAAAGAAAAGTAAGAAGCAATCCTTCATGCCGAACTCAACTCAAAAAACAAGAAAAAAAGAAAAGGAATAAAATAAATCTACTTTCTACTTTAAATTTTCTCATGCCAAGCATACTAAAGGTTGTTCAAAAGTAGATTTTTGAGTGGGGAATTGACACAGAAAAGCTCTAAAAGTATATCCCCTTCTTATAATAACAAAATTTCTGGCAAAGCTCCTCATAATATTCCACCAATATTGATAAATAGAAGTGCCAAAAACGCAATGAAAACAGCATATTACCTGCAAAAGAAGTAATGATTATTTCATATTCTTCACCAACCTTGACTTCTGTTAACCCAATTGGCTCTTGTTCTCTTTGATTGCTTAACAAATCACTGTTCTGCTCCATCAAATCACCTTTTTCCTTAAGAGGAATAAACTCAAAATACCCAATATTTGGAAGAACTGTAAATGAAGCTGATTCAGGTGGTAATTCTGGATCAATATTAGCACCAATCCACCCTTCAGAAGATCCATAATCAGCACTCATTAAAGGCAGACTCCCTGCATAATGCCTCAACTTATTCAAGTAAGGCTCCATTGATCCTGTCATGATTCCATAAACATATTTAGCATTTGGCCACAGCGCTGGTATCACCCCATACCAGCTACTTAATCCAACACACTTGTTGTATATGGTATCAGCCAGCTGCGGATTTGGCCGCAGTAGCCTGGAAACTGCTGCACGAATTGTCGGAATCATAATCCTGCTCGAAAGAACTCCTTCCTTGATATCGAAACACAGTTCTTCCCAAACATTTTCAAAGGTTCGAAAAGCATGAACTATGCTGTGGGCAAAGGTAGAGAACACAATCTGGACTTCTTCAGAGAATATCAGACCACAGAGAAGGTGGCAGTACAGAGATTGGTGAAAGTCAGGGCTGAATATAACTTCATCAGGACTGCAACACAAAGAATGGATATCCATCATAGTTCGCTTGAATTGCTCACTTCGGTATACATTTGTCGTCGCCGTGGTAGCTGTTAGACCGCCTTTTGTTTTGAACTGTTTGCTGCTGTAAATAAATTGAAGAGCCTTTCCACTTCTTAAGGGATACGCTCTACAAAACATATATAGTTAAGGTTAGTGCAGCCTATCCAGTGAACATATTTACTCGAAGCAGAAAATAGAAAAGTAGCATAAGAAGCAATTCAAGTTTAACTTTCTGCACGTTTAATAAGTGTCAAATATTAAAATTTGAATTCTGAGGGATTAACAGGAGGATTGAAGACTGTTTTGTGTTCAAGTAACCATATATTACGAAATTGAAATAAAACCATAGTGCTACCAAAGGATTAAAGATTCAAGAGATGAAGAAACAGACCTGTTCCTGAAGGCAAAGGAGGTCTTATATATTTGCATTGTGGAATGCACCAATTCATCATTGAAAGGCACAAACTTTGGCTTCCCCTGTGTTGTACCGGAGCTGAAGAAAAGGAGCGTATAAGTCCAAACTTACAAAACAATGTAAAAATTGGAGGAATCAAGAAAATCAAATATAAAAGAGCAGGATTTAAGAATCCCAAACCTCAATGAAATGGATGTTATCGGTTTCCCTGTGAGGATCGGATAGGAATCTCCATCTGCAATTCTCTGTATGTAAGTCTCCAATTCCTTGTGAGTAACCAAAGGAACACAGGACTTGAAGCTATGTGGATCAATTCTTCCTCGAAGCCCCAAATTCTGTAAGTACTCTGCTTCCCTGTTGTCATGTAGAATCCTAAATAAAGTCTCTCTCTGCACTCTCTCAGCATCCTTTGTCAATGCCTCAAACTCCTCTATCACCCGATCAGCACTGAATCCCTTCACCTTCTCCAACATCTCTGCAGTTCTATCAAAAGAATCTCCCCCACTGCGTCAAAGTACTGCCTTCTTCAAATCTAATGCAGAAACACACCAACTAAGTCATGATCCAGAGAAAGAAAAAACAAATATTATATTTAAAGGGGTTGAGAACAACGACTTAGTCAGGAAGTCTGACAAAGAAAAGATAAAAATTATATTTTGAACAGGTCGAGGAGTTTAAAATAAGAAAAGAAAGCGAAGAAACCGAGTGAAAACTTCAAATAAGAAATCCAAAAGCGAAGAAGTCATAGAACAAAACTAAAATCTATGGCCGCAAAGAATCATGGAATATGCTGGAGCATGAAAACGATGTGTTCCTTGGAAGTAAAGCCCTCTCTTTTCCCCAAGCTAACCAATCCATCCCAAGATCTCATCTTTGCGCAAGTTCCGTTGAACAAAGCACGAAAATAAAACGAATAAACTTGAAAAATCGAACAAAATCCAGAACAAGAATATTCAAAAAACCAATGAAAGATATAAATCTACATATATTTTTTTCAAGATAGAACTAAGAGCTAAGAAAAACTGGAGCTTACTAAGAAGCAAAGCCGGAAGTAAAGAGAAAAATATACTTACATCAGATCTCTGATTGCTCGAAGTTCAGGTCGGAGGCGTTTGACTAATTAACAGTTCCCCATTTAGTGTGTTCTTCTTTGCCCTGCTCGGCCCTTATATAGCAATTTTAAACTGGCAGGCTCTTCTCCATTTGGGTTAAGATCAATCACGTGATGCCACGTGAGTTGCATTGACGCGTGGAAGACAGTGAATCGCAGTTCGGATTGGTTACCGCGAGGGATTATCCAAAAAAAGAAGTTAAGCCGACTGTACTTTCACTAGCAATAAAATGGAATTCCATGACGAAGTAAATTAGGAGAAGAAAAAAATCGAGAAATTACCTGAAGTTCAGGAACGGGAGATTTTTCTAGTGATAGAGTGAGAAGCGCTTCTAGGGTTTTCTTTTCGCGCGTTCTTCCTCCTTCCCCGCCTTGAGGAGGACTCCACTTTGGGATGTCCTCCTCCGCCGCATTCCCTCCACTTCCCAACTCCTCCTCCACCCCCTTGGCTCCCCTTACCAAGGATCTTCTTCATTGGAAGCTTCTTCTTTCCTCCCAAACCCTGGTCTCTCAGGACTTATCTAATTCCCTAGCTCACCACCCACAAAAAACTTCACTACTCACTTCACCAAAGCTCAGTTCGATGCCGGAGCTCCGTATTGGACTCTCTCTTTGGTTGGTTACTCTATCGGCAGATGCCCCTTCTATGAAGCCCTGTTGTCGGTGATGAAAAGAACTTGGAAGCTAAAAGGGGAGCTATCTCTTCTAACTCTCGACGATGGTTTCTTTTTGCTAAAGTTCTCTTCTCCTGAAGACTATGACATGGCTTGGACTGGTGGCCCATGGTTCTTCTTTGGGAAATCGTTTATTCTTCAGAAATGGTCCCCAGACTTCGTCCCAAAGCGCGAAGAGTTTGCCTCGATTCCTCTCTGGATAAAGATAAAAAACCTTCCACTGTCATGCTGGACTCCGGAAAGAATATCCAAAATTGCGAGTTGTGTGGGCGTGCCGCTTGCGGTGGATGCTCTCACTGCGGCAAAAATTAGGCTTACTTTTGGATGTCTGTCCTTCGGACATCCCGTCTTCCTCTACAACTCCCCCTCCTCAGACCTTGCAAAACCAGGTTCCCCTGCCTATCACCAATAAATTTGATCTTCTTTCGGATCAACAGGAGCATCCTCCCTCTTCCTCTGCTTCCCCCTCGCTGCTTCCTCTTGATCTGATTATTTCTCATAGCCTGCCTATGGTTCAGTCTCCTATCAAACACCAGTGCATGTCCAATTCACCAACCCAACAAGTGACCAATCCCCCTTCATCTCCTCATCTCTCCTATGAAAAAAGCCCAACCCAAAGTTCCAGTTTCAGTAATTCCTCTATGCAAGAGATTAATAGCCCAAAATATACTAGAAGTAAGCATACCAAGAAAGGTGGCAACTCCAAAAATAAGCATAAATGACCCTCCCTCGTATGGCATCCTAGAACATTAGAGGGTTTAACAATCCCTCGAAAGTTATGTTTTGCAAGTCGTTGGTGAACAAGTTTAGTTTAGATATGTTTTTTTATTGTGGAAGCTAAAATCTATGCTTTTTCAGTCGCTGATGATTGGTTTATGCATTCTCATTCGATTTTTTCGGTTGAGGGGTCTTATCACAATTTTGCTTCTTCTGCTCCTGTTCGTATCTAGATCAAATGGAATGCCCAAAAGGTTTCCTTTAGACCTCTTTTTACCTCCAGTCAAGTCATCCATGGTGTCATTCTTGATGGGGATTTGGAGGCGTGTTGTATCTCTGTTATTTGTGCCTCTAATTCTATTGCGGAGAGGCAATTGCTTTGGTCCTCGGTAGCTAATTTGGCAAATGCCACTTCTTTGCCTTGGGCCATATTAGGCGATTTTAACTGCTGCATATATTCTAATGACAAAGCGGGTGGTCTACCCCTCCCTCCTAGCAAATTGGGTGAACTTAACACTTTTGCTTATAATGCTGGTGTCTCTGATCTTTCTTCTTTGGGTCACTTCTTCACGTTGTATAATCAGAGACTGGATAACCCTATACATATTAAGCTGGATCGCATTTTTAATAATGATGTTTGGCTCTCTTCCTTTCCCAAGTCCTACTACATTGTCAACGACCCGAACATTTCTGATCACTATCCTCTGATTCTTCACCTGGACTCCCCTAGCAACAAAAAACATCGTTTTATGTATAAGAATTACTAGAGCTCTATTCCTGGCTTCTAGAATGATGTTTTGGAGGTTTTTTCTCTTCCTTCTTCTGGAAGCCCTATTTGTGATCATTATCATAAACTTAAGGAGCTTAAATGTCATTTAAAGTCTAGAAATTGGAATTCTTCCAATTCTCTATCTGCTCAAATCAAGAATCTCTCCTTGGCTCAATCGGATGTTTTTACCAGGCTTCAAAGTGACCCTATGAATGATATGCTCAATACTAATCTCAGATCGATCAACCTTGAGCTTTCCGGGATCAAAGCTAAGATGGTTGATTGGATGTCTCAAAGGAGTAAAGCAAAATAGCTCCAAGCGGACGAAGATGACCTGAAATTCCTGTATGCAAATATTAATGTTAGACATAACACTAATCAGATTAGAGGCATTTTGGTTGATGGTGTTTTTCATACCTCTACTGATCAGATCTCTGCTACTTTCATTAATCACTTTCATAATATTTTTAATGGCACCCTTCCCTCTTCCACTGATGCCTTACCTTCTGGGAACACTATCCCTTCGGATCTGAAGGCTAACCTGATTGCCCCTTTCTCTGTTGAGGAAATTAAAGATGTTATTTTTTCCTCTCCCCTTAACGCTGCTCCAGGCCCTGACGGTTTCACGTTTGAATTTTATAGGGATTCCTATAATACTTTAGGCAATCACTTCTGTAATGCTGTCCAGTCCTTTTTCTCCACTTCTTTCCTCCCTAGGCAAGCTAAGAATATTGTTATTGCTCTTATTCCTAAGAGCCCCCATGCCTCTTCTATTAATGATTATCGTCCCATATCTTTATGCAACACTTTCTACAAAATCATTGCCAAACTCTTGGCCAATAGAATGAAATTGGTTATGCCTTTCATCATCCACCCCTCTCAAGCCGGTTTTATCAAGCACAGAATTATTACTGATAATATAATTCTGGCATCTGAAATTCTTGGCAACTTCAACATCTCTTCTAAAAACAAATTTTTCTGTGCCAAATTTGACATCCATAAGGCCTTTGATACTGTTTCCAAGAATTTCATCCTTAACAGACTGTTTGCTAAAGGTTTTCTTACTGCTTTCATAGCCTGGATTAAAGCTTGTATTACTGACATTTATTTCTCTGTAGCTATTAACGGTTCTCTTGAAGGATATTTTGCTTCCTCCAATGGTTTGAGACAGGGATGCCCGTTATCCCCTTATTTGTTTACTGTGGCCATGGATGGCCTATCTGCATGTTTTGAGGAAGCTAAAGCTAACCGTGAGCTGGATGGTATTGATGTGGGTAATTCTAACATTACTCATCTGCTTTATGCTGATGACTTACTCGTTTTCTCTAAGGCCAATTTCTTTGAGGCCGCTGTTCTATTGTAAATTCTGAAACGTTTCGATAATTCTTCTGGGCTGAAAGTTAACCCTTCCAAAAGTTCAATTCTTTTTTCTAAGAAATGTCCTTTGGAGGATGTCATTTGTGATTTTCTAAACATTAAGCATAACTCTAGCCTCATAAAATATCTGGGTCCCCTATCTACTTCAAGAAGCTTACTTTTGCTGACTTCAACCCCCTTATTTCAAAAATTTCCAGAGCTTTAGAGGGTTGGAGGGCCAAAACTCTCTCTTTTTGGGGTAGAATACAATTTCTGAGATACACGATCTTTAATACTATTGCCTACTGGATTAGGGGTAGCATTATGCCTAAGCACTGTTTGAAAGTTTTAAACAAGCTTTGCTCTAGATTTCTCTTCTCTCGTGACATTGTTGTTAAGAAACTTAGGTTGATTGCTTGGAAAGATACTTGTATTCCAAAAACTATGGGGGGCCTTGGGCTGCCGTCATTGGATTCTCTATCTTATTCCTTTAGTTTCTCTACTATTTGGAGATTTCTTAATGGAAATAACCCTCTATTTAATTGCTGGCATAATCTCTATAGCTTTCTTTGGTTCCCTAATCCGAAGCGTAGTTCTCCTTTCTGGAAGAACCTCTGCTTGATTTCTCATCTTTCCAAACACTGTTGGTAGTTTAGGATCCTCCCTAACTGTAAGCACTCTCTTTTCTGGGACCCTTGGTGTTTTGGCAAGTCTCTTATGGAGTTAATAGCTCAAAATGAAGATCACTCTTGGATGAAATTTATTACATGTGAATCTGTTTCTCACATATTGCTGGATGCTAAGTGGAGCTTCCCTAGTTCCTGGCCTCATAATCTCGTCAGTCACATTTCTATGGTGCCTATCTGGAATACTGGATTGAGTAGCATGTGGTACAATTCTGAGAAAGCCTCCAATAAGATGTTTTAGAAAGAATTTTTTAAAGGTTACATGTTGTAAGTTGGCACCGTTTTGTCTGGCATAAGCATTCTGCTATCCGTTTCTCTGCTTTTGGTTGGTTGGCTGTTAAAAACGCGTTAAAAACTGCAGATCATTTACTGAAACGGGGCATCAATGTTAACCCGAACTGTACCTTCTGCTTGGACTTTAGAGATTCTCACACTCATCTCTTTTTTGAGTGTAACTTCTCTTTTGGGATTTTGAATTTGCTGATCCCACATTCCCAAACACTGCTGCTTCGCCCTAACCTTTTCCAGGTTTATGATTTCATTGAAGATATTGCTAATAATTCTGAGAGTCTGAACTTCTATTCCCTTCTTATAAACTTTGCCATCTACTACATATCTTGTAATGATAGAATTTTTGGGAATGTTATTGAATGTCAAACCACTATGGTCAGGAAAATAAAAAAGGCGGCTATAGCTAAGTTGGAGAAATGGAAGAACAAACACAATCTTTTTCACCTTTTAGATTAATTGGGTCTTTCTGGTGGTTTGTCTTACAGGATGGTGGCTCTCTTAGGCTTATATGGTGGCTTTTTCTGGCTTGTTTTGCATGGCCGGAGCTAGAGCTGTTCGACTATTCTGCATCCTTTTTTGCTCTCTGGCCGATTGCCTGGATGGTTTATTTGGC